AATGTCAGCCTGACCTAAACAAATTTCTGCTATTGGAATCTGGAAACAAAATAATCTGTTCCTCTTGGTTTTATTGCTTCTCCAGTCTGAGAAGATTAATTGAAATAACCTAAAGATCTAATTGAACAATCTGGTAAATATAAGTTTATTCTGATCCAATTCTTGTCCTTTTCCGGATCATTCTTACCCAAAGTAACAATGATCCTGTAGCAGACGGCCACTCAGGCTGAAATAAAGACCAGCAATGAAATGTTAGAATCTCTGATAAAATTAAGAAAGTTAAAGCTATTAAATAAAGTAACAATAAGCAAGTTGGAATCAATCAATCAAATTTTATTTGTACCTTTTAGCAACAAGGTATTTCGAAGAGCTTTACCTCATAAAAACACAAAATTACAAAGTCATAGAAACACACAGTCAACATTACATTTAGCACATCCGATTATTGATTATTGTTTCATGATTAGGTTTCAAAAGCAACTTTAAACACTAGTGTAGATTTAAAGGAACTCAGCTGACTATCCTTAGCTTAAAGGAATTCAGGGTTTCAGCAGTTTTCCAGTATTCTGGAATAAGATTTTCAAGTTTTCTCCAGATTAAAAGAGCATAAACCTGAAAGCTGCTCCTCCATGTTTGGTCCTGGGGATAAAACATAAACTAGAACCAGATGGTAGAAGTTTTGTCCTGAATGCAGACATGTGGCTTTTGGAGGTCTGCAGACACAAAGGGAGATATCATTAATATAAATGAATTGATTCATCAACCTGGTTGTTCCTGGACATCCAGGACTTTAGGTATTACACAACTAGTCTAAAATGAGTTAGCATCGTTTCATTTCAAAGGAGGTTAAGTTTGCAAGGTAGAGTCCTCCACAATAACTGGCAGCCTCGGTAAAGATGTTTAAAAGCTTTAAAATAGTTTCTAATTTATTCCAACTGCATAATTTTACATAGAAAATTTTAATAATCAAACCTTTAATTTCAGGACATTTATTCAAAAGATACATGCTTCTGGCTAACTCTGATAAAATGACAGAAATGTTCATATGAACTGTCCCTGTAATAAATAAATAATTACAATTCAAGAAAATATGTTTCAAAATCAACACTTAAGTTGGTATGAGCAATGCAACCAAGTCCCATCACATAAAGGTGACTCATGTATTTAAAACCTGCCGTTTTGATCAGATTGTATTGGAACTTCAGTCAGTAAAGCATGAAGAGTTTAAGACTCTTTGCTCTGGTGCACAAACAGAGGTTAACGGGGAACAGCTGGAACCACAATCCATCACAGCAGATGATGAGTTTGAAACGTATCAGAACCAGAGGTGGTGGGCGTTTAACTTACAAACGTTTTGTTACGTCCCAAAGGCAGACATGGGGCCACGCAGCACACCGCCAGGTCTGTTTGGCATCATCCAAAGATGGCTCTGTTCTCTATGACCAGTTGTCCCCAGACTGGTTTCATCAGTGCAAAATACATCGGCAATTTTCTAAGGACTCAGTAAACTTTCTCTGGATGCATCATCAAAACGAGCTTCACCTGTTGAGACTTTCTTCAGCTGTTTAACCTGAAGAGGCTGAGATTAAACTCTGGCTTCTCATTAAACATGCTGAGACCTTGAGCTTAGAAAGAAAACATCATTCTACATGAAAATCATCCACTGGATATATTAAATGCAGTAAGACTCTAATTACATTTCTGGTTTATTGAACAAAAGCATGAATAATACAGGATTAACCACAAAGGAAAATATGTTTCACATCAGATCTTAGCCATCAGTGCTAACGTCCAGCTGCAGTCCACGACTCACTGCAACACAAACAGCTTTACAGAAAACAATACAGAGCATCTAAACAGCAAACATAAGATTGAAAATTACTTTAGAAAGTCCAAATATCAAAGACTGAAAATAATAAGTACTGGTAGGAGCTCCTGTTCCCATCAGCCAGTATCCAGCCTGCATCCTCCAGACTATGTGCCTAAACTACTTATTTCCTGATAACAATTATGATGTTGACTGATCAAATCATTTCTGTTATTTGTTTTAAAGTATTTTTCTGTTTCAAGTCATAATGTTTATAAGTTCCATCTCATTTTTAATTCTGTTGGAGTTTTGTTTTACTGTTGTAAATAAGAAAGCTGACTGTCCAAATATTGTTCATCTTTCAGGAATCATCCACTGCAACCTGAATGGTGAACATTTTCACCATCAAGAAAATGTTCACCATGGTGAAAATGACTACATTTTCAGATGTGTATTTAATCCATTAGTGTGGATTACAGCTGCCTACAAAACCCCATTTAATAAAATAATCCCTCATCTTCAGTCTTCCTCCACATTAAACCAGATTCGTTTCCTCGTCTTCATGTGATTTTTTATGGCTGTACATTCCATTGGCTGTGCTGAATTTAATTCCACATACTGTACATGAGAAAGGTTTCTCACCTGTGTGCACCCACATATGAGCTCTGAGGGAAATTTTGCGGGTGAATATTTTACCACATGTTGGACAGGAAAACAGTCTCTCTCTGTTGTGTTTCCTCAGGTGGGAGTTCAATGAGCTCAGCAGGGTGAAGCCTATCCCACATATTTCACAAGTGAATGACTTCTCCCTGGAGTGGGTACTCATGTGATTATTCAGACGGCGACGGTCAACACAACCTCTGCCACATATTTTGCAATAAAAAGGCCACTCACCTGTGTGGACGCTTATGTGGCCCTTTAAATGAGTTTTTTGAGAGAAGCCTTTTCCACATATTGTACAAACAAATGGCTTCAAACCTAAGTGCATTCTGTGATGCACCTGAGAATTATACTTTGATTTAAAGGTTTTTCCACAAACATCACATGTTAAGGATGAGTAGTTATGACAGAGGTCTTTAGTGTTTGGGGTGCTGGGGGTCTCCAGAAGGTTACCAGGCTGCTCTCCGTCCTGTCTGCTGCAGAGTTCCTCCGGTTCATTTTTAATCTGTGAAGCTTCTGGTTCCTCCTGGTCCAGACTGGAGGTCTCCTCAAAACCGTTTTGGACGTTCTGCATTGGATCTTTGTCATCCTTCCAGACATGTTGCTGTAGCAGGTCTGCTAAACAATAAAAACACAGTCAGTTCATATTATATTTACCCTGAAAACATATTTCTAAAAATAACTAGAGATGCAAAGTAAAATCCATGTTTTCAATAATTAAAACACATCTGATAAACAAGTTAGGATGAACAAAAGGCTTTCTGCTGTTATGAAAATACTGTAAGAAAAATAATTTTAAACCAATTTTGTTTTTCATCACAGCCGTATCGACGCCTTGAATTGGCCTCTGTCTCTTTAAGAAACTCCTACTCTGTCTGACAATCCCCCTTATCCATGTGATCAAACAATGCTTCTCCATGCTGCCGTTTATGCCTGTTCTTAGGAGAGGAGTAGTTTGTACATGAGCTCAGCAGACTCAGTACAGAAGCTGCACAGGGAAGAAGCTCATCTGGGAACTGGAGCTCCACCATGGAGATGCGGGTAAAACGATGATGGAAACGGAGAATTTAACAAACAAACTGGAATCCATAATAAAACGAGAAGTTTTACAGAATTAGCTGATAATACCGGAGAAAAGTTGTTATAATGTTGATTAATATACACCGTCTCGTTACTCTAAATAAGTTGGGAACGATCCTTAGTTTAAAGGATAGAGAAAAATAACCGTCTAAAACCAGTTCGTTTAGCAGTTTAGCAGCAACTATCGCCGCTGACGGATCTCTGCATGTAACACACCTTCATCCAGACCTACCAGAACTTTGTCTCCGCAGCTCCGAACCGATTCTGTTGAGTTTTATCTCTGGTTTCCAGTTGATCCCCATCATCCTGCGCTGAGCATCGAGCTCCTCCTCGTAGCAAATGATGGTTTTTTCAACCTCTGAGAAGATTTCTGCAGCAGCAGCAGTTAGTCGCTCTCTGATAAAATCTCTGAGATGCTGAACTGAAGACATGGTTACTGAAATATTAGCTGAGAAACGATAAAACAACCGTATTCT